ATTAGGTACCCCTAGAACTAAAACGGAAAAAGTCTTGAAATTATAATATTAATTTTAAAAAGATCAAGTGAGATCAAAAAAAATGTTATTAATAATGTTATTAGGTAGGTACCTCTAGTTACTTCCCGAACACTGCTTATTACATCATTATAGATGGATATTTGAAGGAGAATTTTGTTGTTTTCAAATATTTAATATATCATTACTGTTTATTGACTAATCAAGTGACAATTTATGAAAGTAGGTACCTACTTGCTTAAATTGACTAGCAAATCTGATTGTTATATTGAAGTAATCGAATTTAATTGAAAACAGTTTATTATTAAAATGTTTAAGATTAATAATTCCTTATTATTTATTGATAATTAACTGATTGGTCAAATGGTATGCCTACCGGCTACTACATGCCTATTTAAATAATCAACTAAGTTTTAGGTTATTTTAAGAATGAAAGTATTAACATTTCTAGTACTTACTTCATACTTTCAAGCTATAATAATTATATTTTATGATTTTAACAAATATAATTTGGTATATCTTAAAAATTATAAGCAGGTAAATACTTTTTTTTATCAAATTATTAATTTAAAACCATTCGACCAAATAAAAATGAATATTTTAACTTCCTCAAAAGAAAAAATTAGTAATTTTATCTTCATGTTTACGAAATTAAATATTAGGTGGGTATAATTAATAATTATATATTTTATTTTACCTCACATTTTCGGGTATACATAATGTAATAGGTAGAAATGAAAATGTATAGGTATAGATACTATAATATAACTATATTATTATATTTTCAAGTTAAAAAATATTTATGTTTATTGTTTAAATCAACAATATATCTGCTTTCTCAAATTATACCCCGTTTTAATTAAAAATGAAATATGAATTTTAATTTTTTTTTTGTAGGTATGTCTTTCCGGCTTATGTCATATTAAGTGTGAACCTCTGATGCACCGCACACCATCGTCGATAATAATAATGTTCGTGATGTGAGGAATCACAACATTATTAATCTAAAAACATCTCCAAGTCCAATGAAAAGTCCAATTTTATTTTTGATGGAATTTTGATTTATTCGACATATTATTGATACTTTTACGGAAACCAATTGGTTTTCAGCTTCACTGGCTGGTGCCACGAATGACAATATCTAGACATTCACTCTTGCTCGAACCGGGATTTTTGCACCATAATATCATTCACATGGTTCGTGTGCGCCATAATGTGTGATAATTTTTCACCCGTTTGGACCTACAAATTTCAATTACCTATCATTGTACCGGGGTTGTGATAACAATGATATTAATGTTAAACATACGATATTACGACAAACACAATTTGAGTTCACCAACTGGAATCTATCCATAGTTTTTATAGGTACACGCAGTAAAACACTGCGAAATCGGTGCGCCGTCGTCAGATATTATTTTTATGGGCCAATATCATTATTATGATGGATGCTGCGGCGATAAATGATAATAATATTCAGCGGTTTATGTCTTGACGCGTAGCATGTGCAACGTCGTCGTCGTCTCACTCTCTCTCCCTCTCGTTTTCGTGTTTACTGGTTATAATTTCCGTCGCCCGCGGTGCCGAATACTGCATCGTATAAGTATAATAATAATATAAGACAGAAGTATTACGTGATACGATATGTAACAGCCTGTAGTTGAACAGACGCGCACATTTCGGACAACGCTGACAATTACTATATTTTATTTCCACTCGTATTTCTACACTATTGCACTTTACGCACGCCTAAGCAAAATACAATATATTTGACATGAATTGACGGAGGTAATTTTTTTATTCGGGTGGTCGAGAATAATCCACAAGATATTTTATTCGGGAACGACGAGCACCGATAAATTGCGTGGCTCATGTGATAACTTATACGGCGGAGATTTGAATTTGAATTTCTCCGCAGACCTCACAGACGTTTTGGAGAACGTTCGCTCTTGCGAAATTCTTCGGTGTAAAAATAAAATTGATAATATATTACCAGCTGGTCGATTACAAATCGAGTCTAAAATAATTCTTTCGAATTTTTCTGTAATACACGCAGCTCATCGTTTTAGGTGATTTCTCAGTATTTTCATTTTAAATTGTAGGTATACAACAATTAATATAATAAAATAATGATAATATATTATGGGTAGTTACCGATACAATTAACTTGACCTATTTGCTGACTGTGCGGAGTACTGTCGCTGATCCATATTTTAATTTTCATCTTCAAATCTCAGAGATCAAAATAAATATTTTACAGGACGTTCAGACAATTTTAAAAAATCACGGAGAGCTTATTGAATCTCTTACGGTATTCATCATTTATAATACCCTTTTTTTGCAATGATAAAGCCTAACAAAATTATCAAAAAATCAAACTTCTACAAATATTATGTCATAAATAGTCTATTCAATTTGAATAGGATTAAGTCAAAGATTTCATAAAAGAAGGAGAGGACAGTCATTTTACAACACGAGTTAAGCAGATTAAATCATCCATCTGGTCATCGGCGATAACGGCGTGTAATATTATTTTTATTATGAACGTGACAATATTATTACATTTGAGAAGACGAATATGAACAAGACTCGATTTGTCATTAATAGTTATTAAAGCCCACTTAAAGTCCTTCTGCAGGATACGTCACAATTAGTTGAGCAAAGTGCTCAAATAGCTTGTGCGCATGGCACGTCTATTAATCATGTAATATTTAACAATGACTGAACATTAATAGAACCTAGTGAAATTGACAGAATATGTATTTTGAAAGGAAATTATCCAGACCTGAAATCATGGGTCTTATTAAGCCGTATTCTACGAAGACGTCAAGCAGTCCAGTTAAAAATATATTATAAACAAACGGATCTATAATATGTAAGGTTATTCAGCTTGTATTAAGCATGAGCGTATTGATTTTAATATGGTCTTTGGTAAATTTTGCTCTAAATTCCAATGAATAGGTGAGCTGGTATAAACAAAAATCACTTTTGGGAGTTGAGAATACCTACCTATGAATTATTTTTTATGTTTTTCTAGCTTCAGGAAGAACTAAGAACTACTTACAAGGAGTCTAGTATTAAATTTTTGTCCTAAGGTATTATAATTACAAATTGTACCAAAGCACGTGTAACCATTGTGAAACCTGCAATTCACCATTGCTATTCAATATGAAGCTAAAATGCAAATTTAAGTGACTCAATTAAATTACCTTCGATACGTATTTATAATATTATAGTTTATAGGTTGTTATAGTATGTTGAACATATTAAATCGTTAAATCTCAAACATTTATACAAAATACAATTTAATATATACGCTTAAAATCTACATACAAAAAAAAAGATATCTGATAACTTTTATAATTAAACGTTGTATTGCTTGTTAACTCTGAAAATCGCTATAAATTAATAAACGGAAACTGTGTAACATGTGTGTGTTTTTTGGTATTTTGATTCTATACGTCATATTATAAATTATAAACTCGTGCTAAACGTATTCCTAACACAATATTTTGTTTTGTATCTGTCGATTTCGAAATCCGAGCTCGTCATGTTTCTACACGATTCGGTGGACCACGAAGTGAGATGTACATATTAGAATATATAATTTAATAATTATAATAATAATAATATAATGGTACTAGGTAAGGACGTTCTCCTATAATTGTGCTTGGATCACAATTATGGCTGCAACATAGTGCAGTTAGGAGGTGCCAACTCTAAAAGGAACTAAAAACAAATTTACACCTAGAGGAGCTGAAACATAAACCATATTACTATTGAGATACGACTTAAGCTGCAGCCATTATATATCAGTCAATATATATATAGTTTCTATTCTGACACCATATTTTTCCCACCACTCTACTTAATATATTATTAGGTATTCTTATTATTTATAATCCTCGTTTTTTACAAATACACCTCGCATAGCTGATCCCCGTGATCCGAATCCACACTAATTGGAGCGGACAGATCGCTCGACAAGATCGTATATTCGAGACCTCGAGGAGTGGTTAAAATAAATATTTTTTAGATTCTGAGCAAAAGCTAATAACGTACACCGCAAAATAATAATATACATATTTGTATTGTTTATTATGTCTGTTATTATCATTTTTTTTTAGAAAGATGGAACGATCTAATCTACAAGTATGCTTGTATATTCCTAAAAAAATTAATGTGCATTGTAATTCTAAAAAGTTATAATTGATTTAAAAAAATTCATTTAAATTTTGATTTTTGTTTTACATAATACAAATTTCAATGCTAGAAACTTACTTATAAGTAAGACGTAAGAATATAGTAAAACATGTTTCGTTAAAATTACACATTTTAATTCGCCGATGGTGTCTGCTTTAGAGAGGTTTCAGTGAACGTAATAACAATTTACAAACAACATCGGGTACATTTTGAAAAGTGTTTTGAATATTTTTGGTTGTTCTATAGCAGTGGTATTTTAAATAAACAGAGATATTATAATTTTTCCCCTTTCATTCTACCTATTTTTTTTAATCAAAGCATTGATTAGTTAGTAACTGAGTTCGCGTAAGCTTGTTGCCGCCGCATCGGTGCAGGTATAATAAGGTTATCCGAAAGCGGACCTAAAACGGGACTAGAACCGAAAAGATAGTGTGATGGTTACGTAAAAAAAAAAAACGAATACAAAACGCGTTTTTTACCTCTTCTGGCCTTCTCTCTTTCTCTCTCTCTCTCTTCCTAACTCTCTCTCTCTCTCTCTCTCTCGCACGCACACTCCATACCGCAAGCTTTCAACGCTGCCGGACACGCGCGCGTGTATAAGGAGACGAAAAAACGGCACCTGCAGACACATGGCGAGCGGGGTTTCCCCCGGTTCGCCGACGGACTTGTTACACCACACGCGGTTGCTGCCGCCTGCATCGATGGACCGCGATTAACAGAAGAAAGTGAACGTGATTTCGGGTACGGCGGAAGGGGTCGGTAACCGGCTGTCGTCGTCATCCTCGAACCGAGGTCTGAGGCGCAAACGGCACGGCACTCGCGAGTCGTACACAACTCGATCAAACGCACACCTGTCGTCGTCGTCATTGTTGTCGCCGCACACTTGACCGATTTTGAGACTCGTCAGACAGTACAACTCCGGGTGAGTAAAATATGTTAATTATATTATCATGTGCCTATTATGTTGATAATAATAAGCGTCGGCTTACGGAATCGCAAATCGTATCTATATAAATTCATGACAACGAAAATACAATTTTCAATATGAAAAAAAAAAATATAATAATATATTATATTATGCTAATCGTAAATTAGTAATCATGAAAATTATTGGATGTTTGCTGTTGTTGTATTATTGTGTATAATCTAACTATTTTAATGGTTACCATATTATTAATATCTATAATATCTACTGTAATTATTGTTATATCGTTAGTTGAAGTATTTTAAGTAAGTACCTACTTACATTGTTTATTTATTTATTGCTTTTTATATTTATTAGCTCTTATACTAGCTAGGGCAGTCGGTCATGTCGGTCATGGTTATTGCTAAGGCGTTTTTGTGTTTTTCTTCTTCTTTCCGAGATGTTTATTATATTACGACTACATGACATTATAACCACACGATAAAGGGAAAAACGTCAAGTCACTGGCGTTAATGTCACCCACGCGCTCACGTGACTTGTGTACATGTAATATGCATTTGATTTTTCAAATCCAATAACTCAAACATTGAAAATTGATAACCACTAGCACTTCGCCATAGATTACTCGATTTTCTTTTAAATTTCTAAGTGATTAGCCGCCATTTCAAAAATGATTATTTTCCAGTGGTGATAAAAATAATGCGATCAACTTTATGTTTGTACATCATACCTTTATTATTTTTCACTAGTATAAAGTATGGATTAGTTTTAAGATCGATGCGAAAATATAAAATGCATGACACTGTACTTTTACTGTCCACGGTGATGGTGTTTTTGAATTACCTAAGACAAGAAAATCGAAATTGTAAAAACTATGCGTTTACTAATTAGACAATCCGACATATTTATTATTTATAACTTATAGAATATACTGAAAAACGCCAGCTAAAGTTGTTGCACAAATGTTTTCTTGAAACTATTAGTACATAATATGTCCAAAAAAATTTAATTTTGTAAAAATATTTGCTTGTGCTACTTTTGTAGTGGTTATAGGTACTCAGTGATTCATGCGTTAAAATCGAACGATTGAGTGGGATTCTTAGACTTAGCCCTCCTCTCTAGTCAATCTAGTTGTGTCAATGTTGGGTTTTATTGTGAAAGACTCGACTATACCTACCTATACTGTGTAATGATACTAATGACTTTATAATATCATAGTGCTGATAAATATTACCTTTAGGCTTTAATCATATGCATCAGGGAAGAGGTTTTTAGGTCAAGTATATAAAAAAAAAATGTAACAATCAATACAAATATATAAACAATAACTAATTATTTTATTTGTAATTAATTTTAATAAAACGAGAATAAAATAACTTAATAGATAAGTTATATGTATAGAATTGTTGTACATTTTATTATATATTATATTATTATTATATTAACGTACTATAATACATAATCAGTCAATCAAAATATAATTCCAATAAAGTTAGTAGACAAACAATTGATTGAAAGATGATAAATAAATATATAGATACAAGTATTTATATTATTTACATAACTGTATATCATTGTATGTCTGGGATTTTTTATTTTAATATTTTAAAATTTGTAAATTTTTGAATTTTCATAAAACATATTATGTTATAATGAATTAAATTTAATCAAATTTAAAATGTATATTTTAATTTATCACAATCGTTGTTTTTGTTTTCTCTTGACAAAATCAGTTATTAATAATTATTGATGTATGCATTTCATAAAATATGAACTTATCGTAGTTACATTCAATAACTTGACCTATAAGTATTTTAGATTTTACAAAAAAACCCGATTACTGATTCTGCTTGAATCTTAACTTAGGAAACGAATAAAATATTAATAGTAAAGCTTCAAGCCAACCACATTTTCATAATATCATGCATTTTCATATTTACCACATTTTTACCATAGAAGTGACGGAAAGAGTGGCAATTATATATCCACATAATCGGGAAGGGAAAAATAAAGTTACAAAAAGAAAAATTCTAAAATTTCAGTTTCCTATAAATGTGTACAAAAATTATGATAGAATAAGTTATATGGGAATATAATAGGTCCCTACGGTAAATATAATTCGGATTGCAACAAATTAACATTAATCGTTTGTCATGATTACGTCTAATTTGATCAATATTTGACTTTCAAATGATCATTAAATTCAATGTACTCTACAGTTACTATTTTTAAATTTTTAGTAAAAAATGGTAAAAGGTTTAAGAAATACGCTTATAAAATGGTGACTGTACTTTTGATTTCATAACTTGTAAGAATAAACGTTGTTTTAAAATGTAGAGCTTTTTCATGCAAAATTTTTTTTTAATTTATATAATTTTATACTTTGAAAATGGTTGCATATCTAGAAAATGTCAATTTAAGTTACAAGTTTTTACAGTTTATATTTTTTTTAAACTATAAATTTATAACTAAAACAAAATTAATCATTTTCGTTTTACAATATTTTATTTTTGTTTGAATTTCTTGGTTATTTGAGAAAGTACTGGGGTTTCATTTTTTTTGGCCATTCTAACTGTTTAAATATATACAAAATCCAATTTTTTTACCAGACACCACCACTTACAAGGTTGTTCGAACAACACACTCCATCATTGAAAAAGTGTAAAACCAATAAATTTATCACTTTGAACTGAATTTAAAATACAAGAAACACAATCACTATTTTTTTTAACATTTAGATGATCTAGTACACATCAAAAAAATATCGTAAATTTGTTGTGGATAATAGAATTATTAATTATTAAAAATATATTATTTCGTTATGGAATTATAATTATAGGTAGAGCTAGGTGTTGCAGAACATGTAATTTAATAAGTTATAAAATTATAATACATAAAATAATCAATAATTTTCATATAATATGATAGAATTCTTATGGGTTGCTTGCATAGAAAGTGCGTGTGCTAATCAATGATTAAATCTGTCAATATTGTTAAAAATAATAATTGTTGAGATTTGAGATTCGTGTTTAAGGATTATTAATATTATATCTGATGGTTGATAATTAGGTACACTTTTTCCTTTACATCCGGTCAAATATAAATCACTTATGTAAAAATTGTCTAGAACATAATTGATTATTTATAATTAGTTTGACGCTAAGATATTGTGTTCTTTCGGAAAAATTTTTTTTTGTAGAATTGAATCGTATTTATTAATTAAATTGTGTAAGTTATGTTGGTGCTCAATACGTATAATATAATTGTATAAAATAAGTTACTACATTAAGCACAATTAATAATTAATTATACTTACCTAAAATGTAAAACAAATCTATTGGCTTCACAATTATAGCCCTCTGTAGTAGGCATAAACCAATTTTATCACTTACCTGTAACCACATTCATAATTAATACATTTTTTACTATTGTGTATTTGATATTATAAAAACATTTAATTGAAAAATAAAATCATAGGTATTCCTACCTAACAAATAATTATGGCGACGATTGTTTTAAATTAAAATTAATTTTCCGGTTGTATAATATAATAACGCACCTTCATTAAAAATGTGTATTTCAATCATTAAAGGATTTAACAAATATTAAATTCATGAAAATATTAACTATCACTATCTGGTACTTGTGAGTGAGAAGTGGTAGAAACGGCTTTAGTGTGATACCTAGGTATGTAGGTGAATGACAGTGTCTATTACGCTGGTTGCATGTATAGAGCTCGGAATGGATATAGTATGTTTTGTGATTAAACGAAGGAATTTTGACTGCCGATGTGATTTTTGGATTTTGTTTAAATTCGATTATTTGGCAGAATCCCATATTTGGGTGCTATACATCATGCATGGGGGCTTCATAAGGAACTTAAGGTTAGCTGTTAACGATTGAATAATTGGATGATGTGACCTATATATACGCTGTTACAATAAACTGACTGTTCTGTTTAAAAAAATAATCATCTGATACCTTCAATAGTGACCAAAACATCTACCATGGACACAATGTTATTAGTTATTACCAGAAAAAAAAATTATGGCACAATATCTCCAATCTTGTCATTAATGTATATCAACATATTAAAAAATATAGGTGAGGAGCAAAACATTATTCAAATCGAGTTCTGTGTTTATGAAAATTAGTACTCAGTATAATTAGTATAGTCAGTACTACGATTACCTATACGTGATTTCGAAAAATAAGCTCATATCATCGTAATTATTGCTTTTATTTTTTATTCTTCTACATATGAAGCATTTAACCATGCCATTATTTTTAATCACTCACACACAACACACTTGGTAATTTTTAATAATTATATATCTATCTATAAGCGTTATTATGACAGTGTTTTATTAAATTGTATTTGCTGGTCTAAGCTTAACTATTCGGCGATTTTAATACGTGTACCTCACGTCTTTATGTATAATTATTTAAAAAGATTATTTTCGAAATGAGTGCAAAAACATATTATACAATCAATAGATCCGATCTGTTTAGAATCGTGCATATATTTTATAATTTATACCACATATAAAATGTATTTATGTGGATACAATTATTCTACAATCGCTTAAAAACATTAATTACGATGCATATTGAATGAATATTCGAGTGTTATAAGATATAAAATTAATTTGCATGTTGTAAGTACCAATTCTTATTGATACGGTCCAGATTAATATCAGGAGAAAAGAACGAATTTCAGCAGGTTTAATTATTGATGTTACAAAAAAATTTTTAACATGATTCTGTCTGTTATGAGTTCTAAATAATTATACACAGATCTGATAAACACAGATTTCTGCATTGTTCCATGCTGTTATGTTTCCGTTACCTCATCAAATAGTTGCATGCTCATAATTATTGTTACGCATGTTTTTTATTTAATTAGTTAATTCATTGCCGGAATCTTAAGTTACAGAGTTATTTTATAGATGGGATTATAACTTATTATGACATAAATTACTTTAATTGAGTAAGTC